AGACATCTTGTGTCCAGCAGGATAGATTCTGGTATTTTTAATGAGGTAGAAGGAATAGATCCCTTTTTAAGGATTTTATACTTCATATATCAGATTAACATTTTGATCCGAGCAGACTGTATTGTATGTGTTGTAATACATGTCTGGAGGGGATCTTTATGTATGTTTCTACAGCTCCTGTACCTGTATTTGTGCTCTATATCATCTTTGACCTGCTTCTCATTTTTCAGCTGCACCTCCAGGTGGCGCAGTTTCTTCTGCAGAGCTGCTGACTGTGGAGAGAGAACAACCAACCAATCACACACATCCTAGTGACTTAAAGAAACAAGTTCAAAACTTCAGAAAGTGTTTGCAAACATTACTGTATCCCATCCACATTTCTTGTGACTTGACTATGTTATGCAATGAAGCATTTAACACAACTGACATTCTTGTCATGTATTGTGGATGAAGGACAACTGAAAAAAAAAGTTCCAAAACAATCTGAAAACAAAACTATGTTCACCAGTTAGTTATTGTTTGGAGCTGGGCATGTATTGTACAGGGGGTTTGTCCAAGTTTTTCACCAGTGATTGAACCAAAACCAAAGCTGCAGACCAAAGCAAGCTGAAATACGTTAAAAGTCTCTGTACAGCAGGGGAGGACAGCAGAGTTGGGATATCATTACGAGTGACTCTATGACATGTATGTAGTCATTTTAACTTCAGTTTATATAAAAATACTAATTATACAGTAGAAGTGTTTGAGTTTTGACTTGAACTTTGAAGATAAGCTCTTTCAAACAAAAAAAAAAGACATGTTTCTAGACATCGAAAACGATTAACCCTCAGAATAAATATAACACTCCTGTTTTGCAGTGACATTTTGCCAATCTCTGCAGAGCTCAAAACTTTAGAAGAATTAAAGCGAGTTTAGTAGCGACTCAACAAGGGATGTCAAACTGAACATAAAACCTGGGTCTTCCTCCAAAGTGGTAGTTGGCTGTTCAGGCGGTTCAGTTAGGACTTTAGTCAAGAAGAGATTAGCTTTTAGCTCCGCCACTTACTCTGAAAGCTGCTTAATTCTGTCTGTGTAGCTAAGAACACTGAAATACTAACAAAGTAGAAATAAATCATGGGATCAGAAAAATAAATCCTTTTTCTGAGTCATTTCCATCATAATCCTTAATGTCTTACAGTAGGAAGCTGGACTGATCACAATGTCAACTGTTCTGTGTTGACATGTAAACTGATGCCTGGCTCATTTGTTTCTTTGGGACGCTATTACTGGAGTGGCTCAAGGTGCACCTGCCAGTTATTGTTTGTGGAGGCGAAAGCACCTACCTCTCCTTTTGAATTCTCACGAGTCACTGAGATATTGTTGGAAGCATTTAGTAACCTGAAGAAGGAAAAACAAAGTAGACACAGAGTGAAAACCCCAGTCAAGAACAAAGTCTGAGTCTATCTTTTATGTACTGTATGTAGGATTGTTGAGGTCCCTAAGATGATGAGAGACGGCGAGGAAAACAGACGACTTACTGGTCTTCTTTGAAGTAAGTGAAGCCAACAAAGGGTAACTGATTTCCAACAAAGGCCTTAGGCGTGGGGAAAGTTTCTACATCGCCTTTGTCATCTTCAATCTCATCAAAATTACTGGTGTCTATGTCGCTGCTCAGCTCTGGGACCACGGGGGCAACCGCTGAGGAAGGAGTGAGGGAGAGGAAAATAGGGAAAAGGCAAGTGTGAATTCTTGGGGAAAAAAAGGAAGTGCTGTGTAAACAAAACTTGGGAGTTTCAGTCTAATATATAATTTGATCTTGTACTCTGATAAAACTGCCGCTCTAAAAGAATTCTTTGTTTAGTGTTTGAGTTCATTGGCTCAGGTGAAGCCGTGTGCTGAACTGTGGCGATACTAACTGTCTCTGATGGTGTCGAAGGTCCACTGGTCGTTCTTGAAGAAAGGGTGTCGCTTGATTTCCTCCACGCCGTTTCTGCCCAATCGCACCTCCCTCAAAGCAAAGAGTGATTGAGTTGTAGAGCAATGACTGGATCTACCCTTTGTCCTCAGTTCAACAGTATCAGCAGCAACAGGCAAACATGAGCCTTTGATACATATTCTTGTCTGAAGGTTATTAGAAGTGAGCAAATAAAAACCAGAACAAAATATACAAACTTTGATTTGCTTTCACAACAAACCAGTGGTGTGCAGCTGAAAAGCGTCAACATGTTATGTAACGTCTGAGTATCGCGGAAGAAGACTGTAACTCTTCCTACCTGTCCGTCAGGAAGGCACAGATGATATTCTTGGCATCTTTGGAGATCTCCACGTCATCGGGGAAGTTGAGGGAGTTTTTATGGTCCATGATCTTACTGTAGGTTCCCACAAGAGAGTCGGCGTAGAACGGCGTGTCACCTAACAGCAATAAACAGTAAGTCAGCAATCATAAACTGCACTGATGTGTTGGAATTGGTTTTATGTATTGAGAGGATTCCAGCAAGACTAGAAAATATCATCCCTTAAACCACAAACATGTTTTTATTAAATGTTCACTCACCGACAAGCATCTCGAAGATGAAGACCCCTACGGACCACCAGTCACATTCTCTCCCATAATACCCATCTCCTCCCTGGGATTTCAGCACCTCAGGAGAGATGTAGTCTGGGGTCCCGACAGCTGTGTCACAGTGCACCATGCCGGTCTGCAACACAAATCCAGGAATCAATATCCTTCAAAATCTTGCATGTTTTGACAATACAGCCTAAGATCATGTTATTTTGTCTCATCTTAAGACAATTATTAACCTAAACATAGCGGTTTATGAGACAGGAACCACAGCTTGCTCTCTGCCGGACCAACCCTGCAATCTGAAATCACAAATGTACAAAAGACTGCTAGAAGGGCTGATTTAAGTGCTAACACAGTTTTGTTGTTGAATTAAATTATGGCTCCAAGTCTTTAGTGACCAAATCCAAAATATAAAGATGTGTTCATATACATCATGGTCCATTATGTAGCCTCAACAAGCTCACCAAAATTCTAAATATCTGCAGGAGAATTACAGTATGCTTCACCGTCAGCATTAGCACAGACAGTTTACTGGAATTTCTGGAACCAACCAACAGTGATTTACAACAGTGTATATAAACTGCTGACTGTGCATTTTTTGCTTTTACTTTAAGGAAATAATGTATTCCTCGCTGTGCACCTTGTTTCCATAACAGTGTTAATATTCTACTCAGGCATTTTATTAGTATCATAACAGACTATGTGTTTACAAAAACAGACTCCTTTGCCTTTTCAGTAAAATAAACAAACTGCTGGCAGAAGAAAGAAACACACAACATGCTGCTACACTGAAGTTTCGATGACTCACAGAGTCCATCTTCATGCACGTGCCGAAGTCGGCCAGCTTGAGGTGTCCCAGTCTGTCCAGCAGCATGTTGTCCGGCTTGACGTCCCGATGGATGAAGCCCATGGAGTGAATGGCATCCAGGGCCATCACCACCTCTGCTGTGTAGAACTTGGCCCATTTCTCCGGCACATCGTAGGTGCTGGTGAGGTTGACCAGGTCACCTCCTGGCATGTATTCCATCACCATGTAGAGGTAGTGCTCATCTTGGAAGGCACAGCACAACTGAACAACCGAGACACAAGCTCTCATTACTAGGGATAGATATTTTGGTATAGATGGCACACCAAGAGATGACAATTGGCAACAATCTTTTTGCCACAGCTGAATGTATTTCTGTTAGATTGATATTTTTTGGAATAATCAATAGATAAACGTAAAAACAGTCTGCACAAAAACAATATTTCATACTTTTCTTTCAAATAAAACCAAAAGAACTAAAAGTGAAATTGTATGATATGATATTTATTAATACGAGAGGACATTACACACAATCTCCCAGCAATAATCTCTATCTGCTATCTGCGAGTATAACAGTGGAAGAAAAAATAATCAGAAGCCGAGCAGTAAATTAAATATCATACCTGCACGACCCAGGGACTGTTGGAAAAGGCCATGATATCCCTCTCTTCCCAGAAGAAAGCAGAGTCCGAGCGCTTGATCATCTCAAACTTGCTCAGTAGCTTCATGGCGTAAACCTTCTGAGAGGCTTTATGCCGGACCTGAATGCAGTTGCAGACCCAGCTTGAGTCCCAGAGCTGAAAAAAGTAATTTTGAGATTCTAACTTTTAAGTCTAAGATATTTAATCCGATACCACCATTTTTACGCAAATGGGAATACAGGTTTAAACCCCAAAAAAAAAACTCCATGAAAAAGGTTAAAAAAAAATAACAGATAAAAAAAAAAACATTTGTCAAATTTCAATGCAGTAAAAGTACATTTTGAGCGCAGAATTTACAGTTCCATGTAAATTCTTTACAGACATTCTCAAAGGCTTCGACTAGAAAAATAAAGGCAGTCCATCAAGTGTTTTAATCACAATGCATTTATGTGTAGTCTCCCAGAAAACCAAGATTTTATCTCTCTACAGAACAGAAATCTCTTGTTAGTAAGAGTTGAAAATGAAATGAAATGAAAACCAATACTGACCAGTTGGACTTCACCAAATGCCCCTCGACCGATGACTTTAACTCTGTCAAAGTCTTCAGACTTCATCTGAAGGTCTCGAGTCTGTCCAATGACTTTCTCATCTGAGTATAGAGAGAATAAAGAATCCATGAATGAAGTTGTGAATTGACCACAGCAACTAATCTCAGCTTTAAAAGAAGCAAAACCTACTTACATCTGTTTAAGAAGGTTTCGATGTTTTTGTTCTTGCGTAGTGCGGGGTAGTCCAAGTCTAAGACCAGGGCATTTATGGAGTCCTACACAGAAAGAGAGAATTAATCAACACCTGTGACGGACAGAAAACAGGGAACAAAGTGCAGCATCCTCGACGGATATCTGCAGACTTTTGTGCATCCCATTAAAACCATGATGGCGATGATAATCTCCATGATCCCAAAACATTAGGCATCACTATCAAGCACACATATTTCGGGGTAGTTCTGTGGTTTCCTGCGGGTCCATCTTGACATCAGAGGCAGCATAAAACCATGCAGCGCTGCACTAAGGGAATAAAATGAGTGCACACTGTGTGTGATCACAGAGCATATTAAAGACCCCCGGCTTCCCTTAGCACTTCTTTTAAGTATACAGAAGCGTTAGTAACTGAGCTGCTACAACAGAGTCTTTACGTAGAACAGTTTGTGTTGATCATAAAAGGTTTATATCACACTGCGATGAAAACTTTGTTGCAATTAAAACATGACTTCTCCAAAGTTCTGCATTCATCAGCATTCATTTGCACATAAGAAGGAGATTGCGCGGCTTATGCAAAAACTCACAGCCCTCGTGATAAAATATGTACTGTTTATCTAAAATTCACATAACTGGTTATTTACTAATTAATTAGATTCAAATCATTTAGCCAAATGCTGTGTCATTCCTGACTGACTGACTTAACTTTTAACTCTTAATGAACACTACACTGTATCAGCAGCACCACTGGAACTGTACACAAAGCAAATTGTTGCAAAATTGTTCATTTATAAAACATTCAGCACAAAAACAGCTGCACAACCAAGAAAGGCAGTGGAGTGCACGACTGACAGCAGCAGCACTACATTCAAACATTACTGACCACTGACTGCATTTCTAAGGAGAGTTTATTTTCTGTATATTTTCTCACCACTGCACAGAACAAAAACAGTTACACATCACTGCTACCCAGCAAGGCTGAATGAAAACCAACAGCTTCACCCCAGCGTTAAATTAAACAGTGATCAACGTGATGGACTGGATACATAAACAGAAACTGCATGTCAAGAAAAGTTGTTTTAAAAAACATATATACACACACATGTATGTCTTTGTTTTAAAAAAGGGAATAGAGAGAAAAGGAAAAGGGCAGTAGAGGCAGGGGAGACAGGCAGCAAAGGGCCCCGGGACCGACTCAAAACCGGGCTGCTGCAGTCAGGAGCCTTGACACATGGTACACTCCCCAAAGAAAATGGTTTTAACTGACAGCTTTGTTCCTCAAGCGAGAGACAGGCAGGATGACACATTTCTCCATCAGCAGCAGCCCACTTGATCCTGTCTGTGACATTCATCTGCTGACAAACGATGAACACACTGTTTCTGTGATCATCTGAGAACAGTCAGTCGAAGAGAGATGAAGTCATCTCCGCACAGAACTACATTCACCGCAGTCATGGTGATTTGGTATTTTCTACATGAACACTATGAGAAGTTGCTTTATATGGGTTATGATCAGGTTACAGAAAAGAACATGGGAGCCGATGTTATTAATGAACACATGGGTTTCTGATGAAGAGCAAAACAATGTTTTTTATGTTTCTGAGAAATTGAACATTTGGAATTATACTGTCATGCAAAGATGTATGTGTGTAAATACAGTCTGTAATGGAGGATGTTTTAGTGCAAAAGCTGTTATACACTGTCTACACATATCTGTCTGCTTCGAGATGTAAGACAATACTTAAAAGAACACTGTGTAACATTTAAGATGCTCTATTGGCACAAACAGAATAAAATACTCATGTGTCACGCTATGTTTTCATTCAGTGTATAATCACTTGAATACAGGAATCAGGCGATGTTTGCGTTACCTTAGCATGAGCAGTTTTTATCAACAGACGCTGTGGGTTGCTATCCATGCAGTCCGCCATGTTTCTACAGAACGGACAAACCAAAAACTGGCGTAGATAAGGCCTTGTTATTTTCGCAAGCCACCGTATTTCTCTACAACTTGCGCAGCGCGTTCTCTTTCCGAGGTTGTCAAACAAAGAACAGTTATGTGATGCTACAACAGTACGCGGTACAGTATTGATGATTAACATTACGTGCACTGGCTGATGTACTTTTCTGATGAAAGTTAGCTTCAGCTAGTTAGCTAGCTGAAAAGGCTGTCAATCTCCCTGTGCCCACCAGCGTTTTCACTTTAAGCAAGACAGCCATTACTGCTCTGGACATACATGGACATCATAAGGAAAAATTCATATGGTGAGGAATAGGATGATTAAATACACCACCAAGAAAAAAAAATAATATAAAAAAGGAGTTGAAAGATGAAATTAGATAGAGTGCAATACATTTTTAATATATTCCATCATGTCATTGTAGGTTAAAGGAAAGCTTTATATTTCTTTTCTTTTTTTGACTTTTCTGATTGACTTGTCCGATAAACATCCACTACATTTTATCACTTTCAGGGCTGTGTGTGTGTGTGTGTTGGTGTTGTTGTGTTGTGTGTGTGTGTGTGGTGTGTGTGTGTGTGTGTCGCAGCAGTCCCAACAGGAACAAAGGCTGAGAACTGGACTGCAGCACTGCAGCAGCATGTTCGGTCAACTGAACACAAGCTGACTATTTGCAGCATTCAGTCATTTTATAATGGACAGAGTTTGACCCAGGGCAATGTAGGGAAACCAGTAAATAAGCAAACGACAGACTGATGCATACCCCTAATCGTTACAGTGTGTAACAATAAGGAAGTCATCTATCAACTTTTGTCAGATACACATTCCTGAACGGTCAAAGAGGAGC